ACCCACCAGCACACAAGTCAACACCACCGCAATTACTCGCAATAAGAGGCCAAATCCTCACAGTTTATGCCTCAACGGCCGAACCATTGATTTGAGGTGAGATTACGACCAAAGAAGAATACACAATTCAAGATAATTATAGCTAGCTAACTTAATGCGATTTAAACTCTTGTTAATCTGTCACGTTTAGACACCTCTGCAACAGTCCTCTGCACCTATTTGCATGAACTAATAAATGACCATGTACTAAGCAAGAAATATATGACAACAATGTCATCTATTTTTGTGGAAAGAAGCCGCAATTAAACGACAACGCAACTAAACGAAAAATTCAAAACAACGCACTTTTCTACCAATCAGCAAACTTTATCTCGGCATTTAAATTTTAAAATTTGACTCAATCATCCCATCGATCCCTGCTGTAGTTTTCTACGTGCATCAATTTATATTTCACCTTGCCATCTGATGGTCAATGAACTTGACTTTGGCTGCGCATTACAAGTCGCAGTGGAGCAACGACACAAGGTGTCAGACTCTGAGAGTACGCATGGCTCCACGTACAATATATGCGTTCCGTTAGAATCACGACACGAATGTACGCAAGCGGAGTGAATGCAACTGACACTACATCAAACATCAACAAACACATCAACAAAAGTAAGTCTCTGAACTTCTGTCAGCCGAGAACCCACCATAGATTAAAGTTGAGCTAGAATGCAATTTTTTCTCGAATATCAAAGTTGGTTGCATTTGAACTCAATTAAACAGCGTTACTGACTTTCTGCACGAAATTCAGCCGCAACATTGAATTATTAAGTATTTATTGATAAAAACGATGTTGAACTTTTAACTACGGAAAGCACGAGACTAAAAAAATTTAACGTAGTGAATGAATAAATAGTGTGTGGAATAAATAAAGAATAAATAAATGGTGAATAAATGAATAGTGAATAACAAAATGAATAAAGAAAGAGAAACGAATGAAATAAAATCCCCCAAAAAGGCAAAGGAACCATGCTAGCTGAGAAAAATATTTAAAAATGTATTAAATCATTCCTTAACACGATACAATTAAGTGGTAAACACCACCTTGGCCTGTTGGCCATTATTGAAGGCAATAAGTGCCCTTTTTAGCCATCCATTATGATCCACATACTGTTATTGTTAATAGGCTAATTGCAACATAAAAAAAAAACACTTCAAAAAGATAAAAAAGTTGAAAAAAATCAAAAAAATTAAATAAATAAAAAAAATCGTGAAAAAATAAAAAAAAATCATTGATTTTTGATTTAAAAAAAAATCAAAAAAATCGCCAACCCTGGACGGAATACAACGTTCTAACAAACAAACGATCTAAAGATTATTGTGTATAAATAAGTGTATGAAAGTATATTTTTGAACTTATTCTGCACGTCAATGCTCTGCAAGCCTCAAGTATGAGATGAGCCACAGCAAGCTAAGGAGTTGCTAGTCCCGAACTTGTTTGGTAGAAACTCGAAATTGATTGCTTGAATGCAGTAGCCATGAGAAAAGTGAAAGGAAGGCGAGCGAGACTAAAAAATATTTTTTGGTACTGAAAAGCCCGAAACACGAAGGTGCTTGAGCGTCATATTCATAGCTATGAGGACTTTCGCTTTCACGTAGCACCACTTGAGTGAGCAGATGCTGAGCGTTTCTACCTGCCGAAACTCAACAGCTTTCTCCCTACCTCACGACACCGCCTATGCCTGCGGCTCTTTGCCAGGCCAATAACATTACCAAGACCAAAATCCTGGGTCAGACGGCCACAAGAAAATGTGAATAAAGAAATAAGAGTACAATGGATTTTTCCAGTTTAGGCTCAGGTATCAAAAATAGCTACCTAGTAAATGCGTTAGAAGTGTATTGATGAGCTGAAGAGAAAAATTTGCAAACAATTGACGATACATGAACAATCAGATACGAGCGAGGAACACAGATATCTTTATCGATATCTGTCGCCACTCAAGATAACTAAAATGGCAAAACGGTGACCCGAAAAATGTCATTAGGTACGCATAGATCTATTAAAGATATAGACAAAAATGCTAGATCAATACTGGGAAAACGTAGCACTGCTGCTCTCGCACTAGAATACATCGATGACGGTGGATAACATAACAATAAAAATCGAAGATATTTATTATCTTTAGCACGTCTTGAATCCATGAGAATTAGCATACAACTATTGCTGGTGTGTGGCAGAAGGCCCTTTATATCTAATGAGAAGTTACACTGCGGTACTCGAACCTCGGAATGAATGACCAACAAGGAGAACGAGTCCTAACCTGCTAGCAGTGACCTCAACGTCGAGTTAGGTTGGAGCAAAGTAAACAATGCAGACCATCAAATAACTAAATACCGTCAACAACCACAACTTGAAAAGCAACAGCAAGATGGAAGCGTGCGTTGGAGGACGGGTGGGGAAAGGAAGCAGCAAGAGGAATGGAGGGTGGCTAGCGTGTAGCTGGAGGGGAAGAGGATCTGAACGTAGCAGAGCCTGAAGAGAGTCAGTGACCTTCGCGCGACTGGGAGACCTCGGCTACTGCAGCGAGCACGTACCGGTTGCCCGCAACATTGACTTCTTCACTGAGCTCATATCTTGCGTGCATGGCTCATTATCTATCAGGATCAAATTCGTCAACAATGCAGGACGACCTAGAATACCAAGCTCATGCCTGTCTGTACTGTTGTTTAAACGCGCATCAAGAAACTGCAAGCAATAGATTTTTCAGCGTTTGATCTCAGGGATCTGAGTAAACTGTTGCCGGAGAAAATGCGAGTTTTTGGGACGCAATAACTAGATGAGACGAGAATACTGTGAGTAAACTGAAGCCGAGCTCATAAGAGTAGAAGTATAGGTAGAAAAATTTGCAAATGTACTTGACTGTCCAATTTCAACGAACTTGAGGCACATAACACGGTAGCACCACTGAAACCAAGTGCGCAGCATTGCTTGAAAGGTTTCCTGATAATTTTGCTGTAGTCGTAAGATCACTATTCTCGTATTTGCTTTCTCAGCTCACTAATGATATTGAGATAGATTGTTAGACGAATGATGGAGTGATGCACACGTAGAGCCACGTTTGTTTGGCTCGTAATCATTAGGTAACCTCAAGCCTCGGGACATCAATGACACAACTCCAGCAGTCAGCACCTCCTAGGCCGGGGGGCGAGGTCATGCCTAACGGTAACATCAACTAGATTCCAGCAGCCTAGAGTCTAGCATTTGTCGCGCGAGGTCACATTCTCTGTGGCGTGAAATAGTGATCACAATAGTTGTTTTCACTTGCCTACGCGTTGTTTGGGAAACAAGCTTAAAACTAACCGCGTAACAAGAAATCACACTGGTCATCGGCATCAAGAAAATTTGACTTTTCGAAAATTAGCAGCAGCGCACTTTGATCAACGGCGTCGTGGAAGAAGTACACAATATTTTCCACAGCATGAAGGAACCTTTGCTTAATTGAATACAGGCTTATTTAAGACATAAATTTGCCTTCAAACAACGAAACTCGTCTACCAGTTTGAATAGGCTTTCAGTCATTTTGGTTGAACACATAAAACACATCTTGCAGTGTTAGTACACGTTCAGTGATTTGAACTAAAATATTGAGTGCTGGACTGCGGACCTTGTTCCTCGCCCAGGCCGCCAGCTGCAGGCAGCAGCGTGGATCCCATGTACCGGCAGCCTGGGATCGTTGCCCCGCACACGCCGACCTAACGGCAAGAAGATGAGCTGCTTCCCGCCCATGTGGCGAGTAACGGGTGTCCAGCGTAGCCGACATATGACAACAGCTACTTCCGAACTGCGCGCAACGCAATGTGCAGTAAAAACAAACGGGCAGTCAAAACATCGTCCAGATAACGTAGAGAGGCAACGTAACTTATGGCACTCCAGCGTTTCGTAATAGAATAGAAGTCATTCAATGCAACTTATACCGCGTGAATAAGATCAAAGACAACCAAACTGTGCTTCAGTAAAAAAAAAACATGCAAACCATTATTTAAACTACTTGGTTCAAATATTATGATAATAGAATCGAGTTGCAGAACGATCTAGAGATATAGATATAAACCGTGCCCACATCGATGTCATTCCGTCCTGCGATGTAGAGCAACTTTATCACAATCTCTTCCAATCATGCGCACTTGAACCAGCAAACGTGTTGATAACAGGTGAGCTGATAATAGCAAACAAATTTCTTGGCTAATGGAACAGATCTAAGACTTCAGAGGTGATGTCAGTGAATAAGTACGAGAGGAATTTAGTTAGTTTGTGGATAGTGTTCAGAGAAATTCTGCATAGGCGCTTGACAGATTCGTGGCAAGATCTACGATCACTGAACGGCGGGTTCAGCAAAAAACTTGGGTTACAGCTGTCACAATACTTCTGCAGCGATCAATATACAAAATCAAAAGAACCAGAAGCCACCAGCATATTGCGAAAGTTTTTGCGAACTAGATGCAAATTTAAGTGGGAGACAAATGTAAATTAGATGAGCAAAGCCTTATTCACGCCACGAGTGATTAGTGAAAGTTGTAGACGTTCCGACCTCAATTACGGTTTTGTCTCGTGATGGTAACTCAAGTTTCTATGCATCAGATATGAGCAGTATTGACGACGATTATTATATCTGTGCACAAAAGGGGAGCAGCCACCTGCATTGCAATCTTATCGCGTAGCAGCTCTGCAAGTAGAACAATGCCTGACTAATCTGCAGCCACGAGCTCGAGGCACCATCCTTATAAGAACCGCTGTCGCCGTCACTGAAGTGCCCCACTCGTTAACTTGCTATTAGTTCGAGCAATCTCAAGTCTGAGTAAATTGTACCCCACAGATCTTTAGCACGAGGATGTAACATTAAGTTCAATCATTTAGTGCAAGATGATATAGTTCAGTTCACATCCTATGTCCACCTAGATCAAAACAAATCAGAGATAAGGTCACTAGTGCAAGTTATAGGCTAGCAGGTACTCACCGCTCTTGGTGAGCTCAGGCGCCACCAGCTTCGAGAGGTCGGGCTCTTCTCCGTACCAGAAGATCCAGAGTTGTTTGGAGGAGTGTTTGAGGTTGGTCTGGTTCTTGGAAGGAGTGTCGGGGGAATTGTTGGTATTGTTGCAGGAGGTGGAGGGCATGGCAGGTCCTCCATCAAGGAGAGGATCGATGACGGGCGGAGGCCTACGCCAGGACCGTCGCCACACGCAGAGGACGTCAGCGGAGAGGCAGCGCGCGTAGGACGACAGCACGGGATCCTCGATGGTGTCCGAGACATTGTTGAAGGCGGGGTGAGAGCCGCTGCCTGCGCTGCTCTCCCACGTGTACACTCGCCAGTTGATACCAACCAGATCCGTCTGAGGGCACGACAACACACAAATTAGGCACGCATGTCTCCACAACTTTAATAGCTATTGATCTTAACAAGACCAAACACATAAAAAATTATGAGGCATGGAAGTGCACATTTGACTATGAATTTGCTTGGAGACCAAAATTAACAAATGAAAGCATAAAGTACCAAAGTAGAGCGACAAGCGTCTGTATTATTATTCTTAAATACATATTACACATCACATTGACTAATAACTTAGGATGATAATGAAACTCCTTGCGTTCATCATCAAATAATTCTGACTAGCTGAAAAATGACCGAAAAAGTAGATCAGCAATTAATAACACTGGTATAAAAGTATCTCACAGGATGCACGGGGTTTCTACATGCACCTTTTTCCATTCTGATCAAGAGAACTAGAGCCTCAAATGATACGTGCATAGAAACAATAAAATGGGAGAAAAGCTAACGGAGGCAAGAGCAGCACATGGCAGCGTACAGCGTAGGGCCAAGATGACAGCCCATTACCAGCTGTCGGTAGGCAAGCGCCGGTGGCATAAATGGGCGGGGCATGCGAGCATTAATGCTTTCATCTCATTGGTCCTCAGCCATTCCCATACAAACGTTCACATGGTCTAACGTTTGCAGTCCATCAGAGACGCACTGCACAGCCCTACTTACACTTACGCAAAATTCGAGACTAACATTGCTTTTAGTACAGCCTCACTGTACCAAAAACAAGGCCTATATAAATGGATGCGTAATTAATTTGTTTTCTACTACAACGTGCCATATATACGTTATGGATCTTTTTATGGATCTTCGAAGACGTCACCGATCCCAAAGATTGCGCGTGAAGGTTGCAACAGGTTTAGGATTAGGAAAAGAAATACCTTTAAATTCTTAGCATTAGCACGATTTATAAGTGGAAACCACAACACAACGAGTTGTGCGTTATGTGCACACACTGTGTTATATTCACACACACTGCGCTATATTCTTCACAGATCTTGTTATTGGAACAGGTAATGCATTTTGTGAGTAATAAAAACACATAGTCTCAGAGGCTATAAAAACATTTTTCAGTTTTTCCCATATTTTTAGAAGAATCGCAAATAGCACTTTGAAATTTGTACCAAACCTCAAGAGTATTACAAGTGCATGTACTCAAAAAATGCCTGGCTTATAATGCTACTAGTTTTTAGTTAGGAAGCTAAATTATTAAAAATTGAAACACCCTTACATTCTTAAAAACTCGGTGTGCTAGAAAAAAAACACATGTAAGAATTTTTCTGAATGAAATTACCCTTACAATGATATATACCTTGAGGGTTTGATCTTCTTTGTTCATTACCAGCCTTCTTTTGTTAAGTATGTCAAGATTTGAGCCTGTTTAAGGACCTCAAATATCAACCGATTACATAACAAAACAGTCAAATTTTTTATGAACTTGGCTTCCCCCATTACAGTCAACTGTAGGCTTTTAGCAATGACTGATTATCTTAAAACTGGTTTTACGGTCTTTTGAGTTGATTTATGCCAAAAATAACATCAAACATGAATAGCCTCAAAAATCATACTGTGTATTAATATTATTGTAATAAAATTTTTTTTTTTCAAGACTAATGGGAGTTCCTTTTATATTTCACTTAGAGAAAATATATACAGTTTGAAAATTAAGTTTATAGCAAAGTTGAAATTGATGTTAAAGACACAGTTCAGGCTGGGCTAAGACAAAATAGTTACAAAAAATCTCTGTGGAGTGTGTTTCTCTAGCAATGATCTGACAAAAGTGACCAAAAGCATCCAAGAGCTTAAACAAAAGTGTAAAAAGGCAAAATGTATTTTGATGTAAAGGGAATATCTGGTGGTCATTTTTTTATTTCATTGCATAATTTATCTGGAACGACTATAGAACAAGTTGGGGCCTAGTAATGTATATATAATTTATTGATGGGTGGGGTTTCTTTCACCCACTATTGCCATGGGTTGTTTTTAGAGTCTGAGACTATGTGCACTAAGCCACTAACTGCACCACAATTGCCAAGCAAAATGATATTGTCAACACTGAGGCTAGGCTCCTTGCAGACTTTAAGCAGCCATGACACTGTCACGCATTCAAGATTCCAACATAAAACTTTTGGGCAAGCAATGCAAGGAGAGTGAAGCAAGTGATTAGCAAGGAGAGTGCAAGGATTAGCAAGTTAGGAGAGCAGACATACCAAATAGTCTAGAACACAGGCTAACGAGTTCACGAGACTACAACCAGTTGTTCTTTTTAGGCAGCATAAACAGGGAGGTTGCAGAGCCTGAATTTGTTGCATTTGTTAGGGAGAAGAAATTAGCAACAAAAAGACAATCAAGTTCAAGATGTCAATTTATTAAAAGGCATGAGAAAACTATTTCAATTTGCTGAGAATGCTTAGAAAGCTCTATTTCATTAGATAAATATTAAATAATTTAAACACATCATATTGATGAGCTCTGAGAACCTCAAATAAAAAGACCCATTTAAATGCGTTGGAACTGCATTCATTACACCAACCCCAGAGAAGTGGTAATCATACCATCTTCCATCACACTCGATTGTTACAATCAGATTTCAACTTGAGCTGTAGTTAAATACATGGAAAAAACATTTTGCTTAAAGCCAAGAGTCCACTTGACATCTCCAATAAGAATTCAGACAATAGATAAATAAATAATAAATTAAAAAAGTGTCCTCATTAAAAAGAAGACCAAGTGTCCAGTTGATGCATTCTAGGGAAGGCAAATAAATGAAGCTTGACAAGAGGAGCATGCCACAAGACAGGTAAGTACAGTGGGGGGAAATAAATATTCGTACACTTGAAAAATCGTATTTTAATGTATGTAAGTACACAAACTGAACAGGAGAAGTGACTTATATTATGTATAGAGGCGCATTGTATTCAAAAATAGCATCAATAGAAATTAAATCTCAATGCAACAAAAATTAATGCAACATGTTAACTTCTTTGGGTCAAAAAAGTATTTGTACAAAACAACTTTTGACTAATATTTCACACCTGAACATTCCAGAATGTACTAGAAACATGTAGCACGTTCCAGTAATGTAATCAGTAACTATAGTTAACGTATTTTGCAACTACCAGATCATTCTGCAACTGCCCGTAGTACAAGAAGGTCTCAAAAATGGCTAAAGGTAAATTTATTGTTTTGTACGAATACTTTTTTCACCTGAAAAGTGAACATGTTGCATTGTTTTTTGTTGCATTGAGATTTAATTTCTTTTGATAGTATTTTTGAATACTATGCATCTCCATACATAATTTAAATCACTTTTCCTGTTAAGTTTATGTTTGCATACATTAAAATACCATTTTTCAAGTGTACGAATATTTATTTCCCCCCACTGTAGGTGCAAAGTTTGGGTAGGTGACACATGCTTCTACACCAACTAAATGAAAATTGAAATTAATTACTCTACTCATACTATTGGCAAATATCAATTTACAATAGAACAAATTGGAATTTTGCAGATAGCATCTTCACTTGAAAAGTGAAGATGCTATCATCACAATGAATCTTCTTCAAGTGAAGATGCTATCTTTTCAAGTGAAGATGCTATCATCACAATGAGGGAATATAGAATGACATTATAATCTATCAACAAAAACATTATATTTCCTGGTTTACTTATGATTTCTCAAGCTAAGACATTTTTTTACTTAAAAAAAAAAGGAAATTCCATTCTTACCAACCAAATTTGAACAAATTGAACAGTCAACAAAATATTGCAGCTCAAAGTTGCACTTTTGTTGAATGTGTACATTTGAGTTCAATTATTCAGGTTCAGTAAAAATTTAATGATAAATAGTTTGTCTGGTAGAAGTTTTCAGCTACTGAAAAGGCACCCTTCACAGCTTACAGAATAGATATTTTCTGAATGGCTGACCAGTAAATATTAATGTTTACCTTTTATGGATCATAAGTTAGCAAATCACATGCAGGGGAGACACAAATGAATGTGATTTTTATACAGCAAAACATCTTGAAACTATTCAGGGCCAAAGTTAGAATGTATAATTATCAAATTATTCAAAACACTTGAATACTAGAATACCCTTAGTCCAGAAAGAAAAGTTACACAAATCCAGCTTGAATGATCCATAACTGATTAGCTTCTGTCAGTTTCACTGCTGACTGTGGCCACTTCCTACTTTCAAAACATTGTCAAAATTTGGACTAAAGCCTTCTGCGAATGGGACAAAAATTCTTGTGCTTGCAGTGAATTTCAGCAATTTATCCAGACCTGTCCTAATTTCTTTCATAAAAAAGAAAAATAGCACATTTTGGCCTGCAATTTGTAAAAACTGCTGTAAAAACAGCATTTACCCATCATTTTTGGGAAATTTAGCTCAATATTCTAAATTGGATTTCAAAGGTCAAACTGCATAAAAAATAGAATATACTGCAAAATGGGGTAACTTAGACCACTTTTTTATAAATGAGCCATTTTTTTACTAGCTAAATTAAACTTGAATTGAAACATGCAAAATACAGGTCTATGCTCTAGCTTCACTTACCATAAATTGCTGGCTCCTGCCTCTCATAGTCTTTATGTAATTTCAAAAAAAGTGATGGTCTTTGTTACCCCAGCTCTTGGGGTATCTTAGACCGGGTGGTAAAATCAATTATATCTTTTGGTAAAATAACTCCAGGTTTTGGTGCATTGTAATAGAACTCTTCTAGTTACATATGCAAATGACAAACTTGAGGAAAGTGTCATAGTTTGCAAATGGGGGACGCCACCCCATAATGGGGTAATGTGACTACCTAATGGCAGACCTGACGGGGTAAATATTGACTGGCTTGGAAATTAAGTTAAAAAACTATATATAAGACTCTGTAGAGTCTGAAACATATAGAAAAAACATAAATAGGCTGTCAAACATAAAATATGTTATATATGGTAATTTTATAATAACTTCCAAGCTGGTCTATGTTCCCTCATTTGGGGGTGGCGCCCCCATTTGCAAACTATGACTCTCCTAAAATTTGTCATTTGCATATGTAACTAGAAGAGTTCTACTACAATGCATCAAAACCTGGAGTTATTTAACCAAAAAATAAAAAAATTGGAGGGGGCACTCTGACAGGCTTTAAATAATAGCTTTTTTTCATGGGTCACATTTCTAATTTTTTTATTAGATATGCAAACTTTTTTAAATCTTTCTATTGTGTTATGTAGCCTCAGTATTAGGCCTTTAATGCCCATTGACAAAAATTTTCTATGTCAAATAGTTTTTGAGTTTTGGGGGGTTTTTGTTAGAAAAATGAAAAGTGGTCTAAGTTACCCCACCAGTCTAAGTTACCCCATTTTACGGTACCTAGTTAGCCATTTTTCAAAAAACAACCAAAAAAATTACTTTTATTGACAAGTTTTGAAAACTAGGTCCAAAATCCACTGTGCAGAATGTACACTTTTACACAAATATGCAAAAATGGTCATCAATTGACAAAGATCTCTTTGATGATATCACCAGAAGCTCCTGAACAACTAGGCAGAGTTTGGTTATTGTAACACCTCGAACAGGTTTTTAGGCTAAAAAATTTGCCAGTATTTTTGACAATTTGTCAACAGAACGATCTAGATTAAACCTTCAAGAATATTTGCATAAATACATGTAAAGAGGTAAATTTAAAGAGAAATGAGTGGGGAAAAATCTTCTAAAAACATATATGAACTTTGACACTGATGCGACACCAAAGATTCTCATATATTTGCTCACTCTCTGCAGCCTGGGTCTAACAAAGTCACTTGCTCTAAAATATCACTGATATTTCAACAGAAAATATAAAAAATTAAAGCAGTTTAAGTGATGCTTCTCATCCTTGATGATATGGCTGCCAAAACATCCTAGTCATAAAATAGAATTGTGGGTTCATGAAATTCAAACTGCATATTGGCCAAATTCCTAATTTACTCATAATTAAGCATCAATGTCATGTTATTTAGGAAAAATTCATTCTCTAGATTTGTTTATATATATATTTTTGATGTATTAAGGTTATAGCTCCAAAATATTACTATTAATGCACAAGATTTGCCGCCAAAATTATATTAGCCTTTATGACTTGTTATCAGGCCCATGAATAAAGAGTGGCATTCAAGGACAAATGTGTTCCAGGATCATTTTGAACATATGATTACCATAATTTAAAAAAATGATGTAGTGCCAAAGTTATTTAGATTTTCACTGACATTTCTCCACTTACAACAGACAGATTATTGATAAGCTAATTGCAAAGCAAGTTCAAGCTCATATAAATTAGCATGCACATTTTTTCAGAAACAGCAGGTAGGATTATAAGAACAATCATTTTATGAGCAATTTAAAAAATTATAACTAAATTTCTCCCTTACTAGGTATAGGCAAATTTCAAAAATCACAAGTGAAACAATGCTTTCACTGGCAATTTAAAAAAGAAGTCAAATAGGTATTTGCATTTGTGACATTTTTCCATAACAAAATCAGGCAATGGCTATAAAAACCAGATTACCTAAAATTACTGCAAACTCAGAGCACATTTGTCTCATCCGAGTGTGGATTCTTCCAATTTTCCAGAATGGAGTTAAGTGAAGACATTGGTAAAATGTATAATTTTTCACTGTTTCACAGAGTCAACATGTATGATGTTGATGTATTATGGGCTAACCGCTAACTAGGTAAGGTATGCCTGAATCATGAATGTAATCACCTTCTATAAGATAATGATTTAGTCATAACATGCTTTCAATCATCACATTCAAGCATTTCAAGCCAAAGGTACTTGAAGTTGAAGCATACAATAGGTAACAGATTAACAGTGAATTAGCCACATTTTTCTAAGATTGCAAGGTAGGTAGGTAGAAATTTGCAGATGCATTGTTTTCCAACTAGAAAACTTCATGAAATTTAGTATGAATTAGTAGATCTAACTGCTTAATGGTGAAGATATTATTAACATGCAGTAAAAAAAATTTCGACTACCTACTCTAGAATAACTAAAACCTTATTGTTTATTAGTGGAATTACTGGAATACTAAAGCGATTTACGAGTGCCAATATTCAAGTGTAGGATCTTTGCAGCAAGTTGATAACAGCGAGTGAATTAAATGCAATATTTACCTAAAATTTTGCATTCCGAAAAATAATAAATGAAAAACCGACTCATAATACAATGATTTGGACATCATTGTAAGCAAAATTAGCACACTCGTTGATCTAACGGCAGCAACTTTCATTCCAACGAAAACTTACTAGCGTGAAAAAGTTGGTGTGGCAGTCTTCAAGGCTTGCCCCATTAGTCTGGGATAGCTGTGTATGCTGTGACATCATATATCCATTGTCAACACAACACTTGGATTGATTCCAACCCACACTAAAGGGATTTGTCTATAAAAATCAAGCTTTATAAACATTCACTCCATGGATCACACATCACACTTGGTAATGGCGGATAGGAAACGAGAGTATGTTCCAACAATGTTGAGCACAAGGATGTCAAAAAATAATCTGTAAACATGTCAGAAAAAGTAACAAAATGCACCTAAGCTTTTATATCCCAAGTTCAGTATGGGAAAATTTGATTTAATTCATAGAAAAATCGACGTATTACTCCATAAAAGAATTAATTTGGCATGTATATTTAACCAAATTAAGGATGCATGTTTTGAGTTAGAGACGAGCGGTTTCTTGAAAGGATTGCAATTGGTCAAATCTAGTCACGTGATGACAAACAGCTGTGGTCATGTCAGAAAAGACATATACTTGACCTAAATTGCTGCAAAATTTCTGCCACTTTTTGGAATCGACCTATACACAAGGTTCTGTAAAATTAAACCATAAAATAAGCATCTATTGTTTGTAGATTGTGTGGCTCGTGTTCAAATTATTTTATTTCATTACTGATACTCACATAAAACGAGAATTACGCTATACATACAGATTTGCATCCACAGATACCACGCACATATAAGATAAAAGACGATGCTAAATGTAAGGATTTGGCAGGATTTGCAATGCTGGTGTTTTTTTTATTAATCATTCAATATAATATTTATAATAAATGAATTTGAATATTCTTTAATGTGAAACATTATAGTATCAAATTTATACAGTTACTTCCCCTAATGTAATTTTTGTTAATCCGCAAGCAAATGTTTCATAGGAGTGCGGTATAAGAAACGAAATTATAGCAGAATTTGTGTTTGGACAATCAAATTTGCACGGTTATCGGTTTGATAAGAAGCCTGCACTTACTTTGTTACGTAAATTAAAAATATTCAGAATTGAATAGAATAGAAGTGTCGGCATTGAAGAAAATAGACCCATGGCCTGTTGCCGATTCTTGAATTTTTCGTGACTTGATTCACAAGTGATCCGGCCTTTGGAACTCGATCTTTCCATAACTGACGATTGATTGAGATAGCTGCTGGATTTATTGCCTGGTCCGTAATTTGCTAGGCATTTCAAGACTGAACATATGCTCCTGCATAGCATCGTCTAGTCTGTTTTTGAAGGTGTTCATACTAGGAGCGCCAACGATGCTATCAAGGAGGCTGTTCCACATGTCGGTGACTCGAAGAGAGAAGAAATTTTGTCGCATGGATGTGTTATAACGTAGTTTATTTTAGTTTATAGCCGTGGCCCCTGGTGTCGGTTCTAGTTTCAAATTCTAGTAATCCTTCGGGGACCTTGTATAAGCCATGAGTAAAATTGTATGCTTCAATGAGGTCCCCACGCAGACGTCGATAACTGAGGCTTGGAAGCTTCATAATCTTTCACATTTCCTCATAGGACTTGCCCTTCAAGCCCGTAACTATCCTTGTTGCGCGTCTTTGAACACTCGCTATTAAATTTTTGACCTTTTCAAATTTCGGTGACCACACGCCGTTTCCAAACTCTAGGTTCGAGCGCATGACAGCAACAAACAACTGCTTCATAACTTCTGCATCTAGGAACTTGAAAGAGCGTCTGATCAGTCCAAGTCGTTTATTGGCTTTATTAACTTGACCTTCAATATGCTTGGAAAATTTCAACTCATTGTCGATATTAACTTCTAAATCTTTTTCCATTGTCGACTTCGACATTTGTCATGTATTTAGTAGTATTTACCATATAAAATGAAGGTCAGAGCTTTTAACCTAATGGGAACGTTTTTAATACTGTTATATATTTTAGCATTGCATGACGAAACGCCCCAGCACAGCCATGTCAGCACAGCCGATGATTAGGCCGGTCTGGGCCTGTCGGCGAATCACGTAGTTTTGTACCTGACTCACAAAGCTGCCAAAAAAATTTGTCCCTGTCCATGTCTATGTTCAAACTGCACATGCCATGCTATCTGTCCAGTGATCGCATTCTGGTGGGAGACTCCTCCATACAACAACGCCTGACCAAGTCATGTCAAACAGACTAGACGAAGCTATGCAGGAGCATATGTTCAGTCTTAAAATGCCTAGCAAATTACGGAGCAGGCAATAAGTCCAGCAGCTATCTCAATCANTGGCGCCTCGGCAGTCACCGGTGGCAGGCCGTTCCAACGGGATGGATGCCAGAGGCCAGCATTGCCCAATACCAGCATATCTTTCATACTTCGTTCCGTGCGCGTAAGTAAGGTGATGACGCATTGCCGTTTGGTACAGTTCCCATTTGCGGCAATGCAGCGTGGTCAGCGGACCCTTATTAGGATAACAGCATGTGTAAGAAGTGATGGTAGGGGCTGAAAATCATTGGAGCACGCCGTATCGACCGTTAACTATGTGGAGTAGCAGCTTATGTGCTGAAGCAGTGTTTGTTTAAAGTTCGTGTGGTGTGATAGGTCAATTGACTACAGCTGCTTAGGTGCCAGGATGACAATATCTATAGCATTAAGATGGTTGATGTTGGCTCCAGGGCTGATTTGAGAGTTATTTTGCTGGTCTACGGCTGCGCACCCGTTCCAACGAGACGTTTCAGACAATTTTACGGCCTGACTCGCGGCCGGTCTCCAAAAAATATCTCCAAATTCAATGACCAAGGAATATCTCCCAAACTAATGAACGCAGCTCAATAAAATTAGGTACACACATTCAGTAGACGAGCGATCACGCGTTACAAGAATCGCTGCCTCTGAGAAGTATTACACGTTTGTTTCCTTATTTTAAACTGGTGGCGGCCACTAGTTATCTCTCAGTGTCAAGCGTGAATAAAATTCTCATTCCGGAAATTGCAATGGATGGATTAATGTTTTTGAGGTCGTCATGATTTCTCCTATATGTCATAGTATAATATAGCGATGTCAACGTTAATTAGGCCATTAGGCCTGTCACCGATTCTTAACATCGCAGAATATTCATTGCTTGTTGCAGTCTCAAACACGCAACTCGCTGATTCAAATTTGAAGTGCTTAACCGCTCGGCCTCCTAGCCGATTTGATCATAACTGTTGCAGGTAGCTGGTACCTAATCTACAACTAACTACTCCAATCTTGGTACTCTCTGAACTGTAACCGCTAGGTCACCCTGCCCCTGTGCCCCGGGGCGCATAGCGCTACCGGAGACCAGTTTTGACATATTTCACACTTAGTTCATATTTCTTTTCGTAGGTAAGCACGTTCGAGTGCATACCTTCCTTTGAGATATTTCTGCTAAGTGTAGTGTAGAGTTGCCGGCACTGAAAGATGTTGGATGAAAAGGCAACTTGAACCTCCTCAATATTGTGTGGAAATCTTTTAGAATCCGACCCTTTAAATATTATTCATTTGGAACTCTTGTATTGCATTTCAGAATTTGTTTTTACGCGTTTAAACTATTCCTGAAAAAATATACCTGAAATTATTTGAAACCGGAACAATCCTATTATTAATGAAGTTTTTTGCTTGTTCCTATCGTTTACGATTTAAAGAGGTTGACCATTATTCAGGAATTAGCCTTTCCACCTGCATAAATGCCTAAATTTCTGTTAACGATTGGTGTCACGTTTGAAGCACGCCGGTGCATCGTCGAGCACGAGTGTGCCGTCAGACTCTAGAATCTATTCTAGATCGTCGCCCAGCACACCGCCGGCATTGTAGTCGTCGCTCTCGCTGAACGGGTTCCTCACTCGCCGCAACAGACCCACCGTTACTCATGCCAGCGCCCACCATATCATAACATAACATAACAAAGTGATCTCGGCGCTGAAGTGTAGGCCTGATGTGGCCTGTCGCCGATTCTTTTCCTTTTCGTGCCTTGTTCACAAAAGATCTAAAATCGTGCCATTTGACCGGATCTTTTCATGACTGACGATAGTTTGAAGTAGCTACTAGACTTCCACCGGGTTCGATATGGTGCTAGGCATTTCAAATCTGAACATATATTTTTCCATAGCTTTATCTAGTCTGTTCTTGAACGCGTTCATACTTGGAACGCCAACGATATCATCGGGGGAGGCTGTTCGACATGTCGGTGACTCGAAGCGAGAAGAAATTTTGTCGCGTGGAGTAGTTGCAGCGCAGTTTTTTTTAGTTTATAGCCGTGGCCCCTGGTGTTGTTTCTTGTTTCAAATTCTAGTAATCCTTCGGGGACCTTGTATAAACCTTGAGTATACTTGTATACTTCAATGAGATCCCCACGCAGACGTCGATAACTGAGGCTTGGAAGCTTCATAATCTTCAATCTTTATTCATAAGACTTGCCCTTCAAGCCTGGAATTATCCTTGTTGCACGTCTTTGAACATTCTCTATTAAATTTCTATCATTTTCAAATCTCGGTGACCACACAACGTTTCCAAACTCTAGATTCGGGCGCACGACAGCAACAAACAACTGCTTCATCGCTTCTGCATCTAGGAACTCGTATGAGCGTCTGATTAGTCCAAGAACTTTGTTGAATGTGTTAGCTTGCGTTTAAACATGCTTAGAAAATTTTAGCTCTTTGTCGACATAAACTCCGAGATCTTTTTCCACATTAGACTTTTCAATCATTGCTCTCTCGTTGCAACCATGTCT